TTTCCTCCTTAAACTAACTTCTGTGAAGAGCAGTCTGATGTAGCAAATGACTTTAACTATCCCCAGTAACTGGACACAGGTAGCTGAATTTGTGTTGAGTACTTAATCAAGACCAGACTAACTCAAGTAGATCCACTCCCTAAATGGTTTGAACCAAGAAATACAGCTCTATTTAGATAATGATGATCATTTAAAACTAAAGACCAAGGCCAAGGCCATAATTTTCCCTCCATGTACATTTGAAGAGGTAAAAAGATACCTAGCTTGCAGAAAGAAGCAGAATTGAAAAAAGAAAAAAATAATAAAACCTCACAGAGAAAAGTAAAGATGAAAGATCACAGGGCTTTAAGAGAAAAAATATGGAAAAGCGGTAACTTTCATGTGAGACGTTGCTTTATCTCCTGGTCTGCTTCTCTGTAAGATTCCCTTAGGTTTTCAAGAAATTGTTTTTATTTAAGTTAGTTCAAGAAAGTTTACAGTGCAAGTAAACCTGGGATTAATATTATTAGAGTTGACTGGAAAAAGGGGAAGCACAACAGGGGAAAGATAAATTGAAAATTTCCTTTATCCCATGCCTATCCCATTTCTGACAGAGGAAGGAAAATGTATGACTCTGATCCCAAAGCAGTACTGTTTGCAGAAATCTTTGGAATGGATCTCTGAAAATGCCAAGTATCTCTTTCTATGCCTGGGACTTAATACTACAATTCAGGGTGGTCACCAGTAAGGAGTGATATTGAGCAATTATAAGTGGAGACCAGTGATTAAGTCTTCTTTTATTTAATAATTTTCTTAAGTGAAAAAATAGTCATAAGCCAGAAAGTTTTATTTTTAGAAAATATAAAATATTATTGACAACCACAAAATTTCCGAAAAAAAACAAGAAAACTATGATGTGAAGATTTAAAGAAATTACAGTTCACACAAAGACACAGGTGTTCCTGTACCTCACAAATATATTTCTTTATTTGCTCTTAACTTGGTTGTATTCCCTACTTACTTTATCTTCAGATACTATTGTCTCAAATATTTGAAAGTAGCAAATATTTTTAATCAGCCATATTTTAGCCTACATACTTATCTAATCATCAGAAGGACTTTTAACTAGCTGTGGATCTAGGCACATTAGACTAGCTGACTTCATTTATTATACCTATTCAAGACTAGCCATTCCAACAACTAAAAGTCTTTTCTTTTTCTTTCTTCTCTAATTTTCCCTATGAAAATACATATTGAAGAAGAAAAAATTTAAATATAAAATTGCTCCCTTTGTAGCTATTGTTGAAAAGAGGGAATTTTCCCTTTCCATAATTTGAGGTTAAAGGATTTCATTGCTAGCCTTTCCTACTTTACCAATGAAAAAAAATATGGAGAAAAGTTTTAGTTGATTAGTAATCTTAAATGAGAATTTCTTTGCAGGGTTTTGTTAGCTTTTTTTAGCATTGCTGTAAAAATCTCACTATGATACTCAACTCTGCCTGACAATAGTATCATATGGAAGCTTTTAAAAAATACTGATGCCTGGTCCACACCTAAAGATGTTCCAGTGGATGCTTAACATGGAGGTTATATGTTTATATAAAAACATATAACACATAAATTGCAAATAATAGCACAACACATAATACTCTTATTGTAAATTCCACATAACTAACAGATTCTCACATAATGCTTTCATTGATTTATGCCAAGTCTGTGAACACAGCCAAACTATGGTTGAAATTGAGAAACAAGTGCAGTTCTAATCTGAATGTTGATTGATATTTTCATCCATGTTAATAAGATAGAACTAAAACAAGAAAGATGTATGTAGGACTTTCTTTGTTAATTAATGATTTAAGCAGTATTTTTTCTATTTTCTACTCAGATAATAGTTTTTATATGCTGGAAGAATACTGCAATTTTTTGTGCTATTAACAATGTAACAGATACAAAAATTTTTCACTTTTAAATTAAGAAATTGCATTATGAACTTTTTCTATCATATAATTACATCTAAACCAGAGGTAAAATTTTTCTGTAAAGGATCAAGTAGTAAATATTTTAGTGTTTTCAAGTTAGATGGTCTCTGCCTAACCACTCAACTCTGCTATTGTTCTGTGAAAGCAGTCATAGACAAAGGACAAATCAGTGGGCATGACTGTGTTCCAGTAAAAACTTATTAAAAAAAAAGAAAAACAGGCATCTTTGGTCCATGGCTTGGCCTAAACAATCAACAAAACTTTAAAGCAAGCCCTTGTTTTTAGCATTTGCCAATTTCTGTTATATAGATATTCTTATTGTGGCCACTTTCAAGTTACAAGTCAGCCCTGAAAATAAATTTGGAAAGAAATGCACAGTATCACTTTGTTATATACTATTTTCACTAAACAAACATAATAAACATTAATAACTTCAAAAGAATAGATAGGTAATGGTAAAATGTAGTAAAATGATTGGGAAGTGAAAGGTATTTATTACCTTTATTTTTAAGTTTATACAAGATTTTAATAATGGCTATATTTAACAACTGGCTCATAAAATCTCAGAATTTAACAATCAGTGTTCGAAAGCCAGTGGAAGTCAATCTTAGCATACGAAACCAATTAACTCCAAATCTCTAGGATTCGGGACATTGGTACTTTTGCTTTTTTGTTTATTGGTACTAGGGATTGAACCCAGTGACACTCTACCACTGAGTTACATCCCCAGCCTTTATAAATTTTTATTTTGAAACAAAGTCTCACTAAGTTGCTAAGGCTGGCCTCAAACTTGTGATCTTCCTGGAGTCACTGGGATTACAGATGTGTGCCACCATGACCAGCAGAGACATTGGTATTTTTTAAAAGGTCTCCAGGTGATTCAAATATGCATCCAGGAATGAAAACCACTGCTCTAAGGCCTGAGAGTGGGGCTGATGTCCAGTTTGGGAATTGAAATAGAAATTTATTCTCTGACAGAAACTGGATGTTTCAAAGGGTAGCAAGGATAGAGAAGGCAGAAGTTAACATTGCTGATTATCTTATTGAGCCAACAATCATAAAGCAGGAGAATTCCTGAGAATGAAGAGAGGGAATTCTGGAGATAAGACTAGCATAATCAACCATTTCAGGGTGCCAGATGCAAAATTTTCAGTGCTAAAACCAGAGAAGTGTCAGGCAAAGCACTAGCAGCATTGGATTTTAACCAATTTTTATTTAAATAGCCACATATACCTAGTGATTTTTGTATTAGATAAATTAGATACAATTACAACGTGACTCCTTTGCAAGTATAAACTTTCTATTTATTTGCTGGTATAAAAAACGATTTTGAAGCCTTCTAATAGAGGAACACATGAAAGTAACAATTCAGATTCTAAACTGAAATATTTGCTATTAGGCTAATGTGCTAATGTGAATAAGTGATAGAAATTCTTTAGAAATAATCAGTGAATTTGTGAGTTGGGGAAAAAAGAATTTTCCAGGTCATACTATAGTTAATATGATAGTTGCTGATACAAATGGGTGGGAATGAATGGCATTAAAACAACTGCACTCTATCACCTGGTTTTTCTCAGAACATTTGCAAAATGGCAGGATGGGGCTGTCAGGTCAGAAATTTGAAAAGAACAATGTTACTGAACTATAAGAATCCTTGACCTAAACGTCTTCTTTTCTTTTTTAGTATGGGAATTGAACTCAGGAGTGCTTAAACACTGAGCCACATCCTCAGACCTTTTTATTTATTTTAATTTTGAGACAGGGTCTTGCTAAGTTGCTTAGGGCTTTGCTAAATTGTTGAGGCTGGCTTTGAACTTGTGATTCTCCTGCCTCAGTTTCCCATGATCTTAAGTAATCCACTTGCTGGGATAACAAGTGTGCGCCACCATGCCCAACCTGACCTCTATGTCTTGAGCAACACTTCCTAATCCCTTACCTGCCTAGAACAGACTGAACTGTGAGAAATAAGTTATCATGTTTAATGTTGAATTTTATTTCCCAAAAAGTCAATTTTTAATGGTAACATTCTCATTCAAACTGCACACATGGAAATATCATCCTAAGAAAAAAATTAAGGACAGAAAACATGAAGTTTATAATGTTATTTATAGAATAAAACTGAATAATAAGAAGAATTATAGAAATGAAGGATAATAAAATTATAATTAACTTTGAAAATTATTGCGTCCCTCTAAAAATAATCAAAAGGAAATGAAGAGTTGCAATAATGCTATGCTTTCGATGGAAAAGGGTCATACTTTCAGTAATTCAAATTTTAATAATTATATGCTTTTAAAATATAAGGTGTAAAGTTATAGAACTACATTAACTTGACAGAGTTTACATAGCAAGGATATTCTATAATGCAAACAAAAATGTTAACATTCCCTAAGCTTTAAGCACCTACCTAAATCACTTCAACCAAGTATGCTGTTCTTTTTCCATTCTAAAACTGCAATAGAAGAGTATAGTCTAGGACATTTAGCCATCTTGTCCTGACAAATAACCAATTCACCTTTTTTCCCAGTATATTCTTAAGTATTGATTTTACCAAGTGAACTCAGACATGTGTCACACTTATCCAATACAGATCCTTTTCCTTGGAAATGTAGTTTGAACATCAATCAGTCACCTGGCCTTTCACCTCCAATTCCTGTTGCCACTGTCTGTCAACTATTAAAGTCTGGCCATTTCTACAAATGTTATTTTTAGAAACTGAAATACATAGTGACTCCTATGAAAAATATGTTTCTTGGAAAAGCATATAAATGTTCAGCTGATTAAATTTCTTAATTAAAATTATTGGTTTGAAAACTTGTTTATAAATCCATATTTCAAAGTTTAGTAGGTATTTGCTTTTAAAACCTATTTCCTGAATAGCAATATTACCATTGTAATATTGTAATATTACCTCCAGTGTAGAGGACAACAAGATAAAAGGAAATTCTAGCTGAGTGGCAATGTTACAAGGGTCTTCAAATGCAGAAGGGAGTTTTTGTCTCCACCTGAATCCAATGAGAGTCATAGAATAACACCCACCTTGAGCTGCAGGCCTCCTGGGACTAGAGTGTTTGCTGGAAGGCTTTTAATGTGTTGGTAGACATAAGAGGAGAATTGCTCCTGCTCAGCCTGTAATTGGGGGCCAAGTTTAGAGAGATGACCTCTGTTGCTTTTGATAGCTGTCTGCAATTCATCAATCAGCCTGCTTACCTGAAGGGGTTAAATTACAAGAGTTGTTAGCAAGAAGTAATTGTTGATGTCACACCTATTAGATTTTTGAGTATCCAGCATGATGGGGGAAAATGACTTCAATACAAGAATTTGAGTACAGATATAGCCTCGAGTGAAGATTAGAGACATACATACATTCCTTCATCAACAAATTTCATTTATGAAAAATGTCTAACCTTTTTACTTCAGTAATATGGAATAGGTGGCCATACAATGGCTAAATGAAAAACATCTCTGGGTATAAAAAGGAACATACACATCTGACAAGTTTGCAAAGGACTTTTAAACTGCTTATTACAATAAAAACTTCCTAGGACTTGAATCCATAAACTACTATCACATTTTATTTTCCTACATGTACCTTTTTAGAATATTTTATTTCAACATGGCTACATTAAAATTTTTAATACATATATTAAATTCACTAAGACTTTTTTGAACTTGAAAATAAATAAGGGCGCTCTGGCCCTCACTAGTAATTCCAACAGCCTGGGAAGCTGAGGCAGGAGCATGGAGAGTTCAAAGCCAGCCTCAGCAAAAGTGAGGCACAAGCAATTCAGTGAGACCCTGTCTCAAAATAAAATACAAAATAGGGCTGGGGATATGTCTCAGTGGTCAAGTGCCCCTCAGTTCAATCCCCAGTACCCCCCGAAAATAATAAATAAATAACTGTTATCTTCTTCCAAATATTCTAGAATACATTTTTTCCAAATTTCATAAATGTAATTTTTCAAAATATCCATACTTTAAAGACAATGCTCTGTTCTAAACACCATTTTAAATATATATATATCAATGACAAAATAAAGCATAGAATTTTTCCAGAAACAAAATAGACTCATGAACACATACTTGGGATTTAAAAAAAAAATTGGACTTCTAATCAGTGTATTTAGGATGGGCATATGAAATTTACTTATGGATTATTAATAAAACATGGTGAGGAGTCAGCAAACTACTGTTTTACAGTTTACAAATTAAAAATCACTGCCATTTCTTTGACTTTCATTGTTTTATATAAACTTATATTCTATGTAATTCTAAAGACTGAATTTTTTTTATTGCTTTTCACAGGCTTTATTATTAAAGGAAATTCATGTTAGTTATTCAGCTGTATGGCATAAAATCATTTAATGTCCCAAAATCATTAATAAAAGAATACTAAATGACATAGGATAATGGGTAATCGACTGGATTTTTATTGGTCAATACATGGTCATAATCAAAAGAGATGAAGAACAGAAATCCACTTTATCAGCAATTCTTTAAAGTGATCAACTTTGAAAGCTTGCATTAAAATTCTGGCTCTCCCACACACTGACTAGGAGACTTTGAACAAGCAATAAAACCCTCTTGCATAAATGAAGAATAATATTGGTCCAACACACTGAGAATTAATGAGATAAAAGAAGAGACAGCATGATGTCTAGCCTAAAGCTGGTAGGTGCCCAGTGCATCAGTATATTATTATAGTGTTTTGTTTTTTAAATCTGTGTTTTCTGCATATCGAGTTTTAATTATATTTTTCTTGGTCCATCATTCCTATTCTTACCTTTATTTCATATGAGGCAGATAGAAATTCTCAACTATCTGCTGTATAGATTTTATACCTCATTTCAATATCCACAAATAAAATGAAAACTCCTCTAAGATTCTTTCATGTCCTGACACTTCATCCTCCTTCTTTCTCTCTCAGCTAAAAATATGGTATTTGAATTTGCTGAAATTTGCTGAAGAACAAGCTTATATTATTAATTATGTGGCTTAAATATTTATTTTTCACTTTACCCTAATGATGTTTGTGAGTGTGTGTGTGCACACATATATTTGGTAAAAGCTAAACATAGTTGAAGTTTTTATACATGTAAAACTTTGATTACATTTGACTTCTTTTTTTTTTTTTTGTATCAGGGATTGAGCTCAGGGGCACTCGACCACTGAGTCACATCCTCAGCCCAATTTAGTATTTTATTTAGGGACAGGTCTCACTAAGTTGGTTAGTGCCTAACTAGTTACTGAGACTGGCTTTGAACTCGTGATTCTCCTGCCTCAGCCTCCTGAGCGCTGAGATTAGAGGCATGTGCCACCACACCTAGCTTCATTAGACTTTTACCAAGAACTTTATAAGTGCATGTAAACAACTTACTTCAATATAATTCCTATTTATCTTTGGTCTCCTGTAACTCTTGTTTGTTCCTATGTGATCATCTTCTACCTTCCTTTAAACAATCCTTTCTTCTAAACAAAGGGTTGGCAGATATTTTCAATAACAGGCTAGTTTGTAAATATTTTTACCCTTATGGTTCATAATGTTTCTGTCAAAGAATTTAAACCTACAGTTGTAGTTGTAAGGCAGTCACAGATCATATGCAAATGAATGGGCATGAATGTGATCAAATAAAACTTTATTTATAAAAATAAACAACGGACTGAATTTGGCCCTCATCTAAATATAAATTTTCTATCCTCCTTTCCTTTTTTATAAGTAATACTTTGGTCCAAGTCATCATTTTTTTCCTCATCCCTATCCCAATGTGGATTACCAAAATACCTAGTGAATGGATTCCCAGTCCCTAGACTCTCCCCTGTCATCCATCCTGCCACCTTCACAGAATTAATCCAAATTGAACAGTAAATGAAACCCTCTAGTGACTCTCTGAGATTTTACGGCTTGATATTCAAGATTCAAGACCTTTTATAATCTGATCCCTACCTGGTTTTATGGCTCATATTCCCACTAGACCCTTCCTCTCTAACAAGATGTCCCTTCTCACTGTTCCCATCCCCCACCACACACACATATACAGATTCCTTCTATTACTCAAGTGTCATAATAAATTAGAAAATATTTATTTATCTATTATGATCAACACTCTTATCTAATAAACAAGGAAAATCAGGTCCAGAAAAGTTAACAGACATATAACTGACAGCAATGTCCCAAGGTGACTTGCTTTGGCCAATGAAATGTGAGCAAAATGAACGTATACCACTTCTCAACAGAAGCTTTACAAGTCATCAGTTCTAGCATTGCTCTTTTGCTCTGCCATGAAAACAGCAATGTCCCAGTAGAAACTGTTCCTTCAACCTCTATCCCATACTGAAAAAGACATATGGGAGAGAGACAAACAACCTGTAGCCAACATAATATTTTGTTTTAAGTTAACTAAGATTTGGGGCTTGTTAACCAATGCAGCATAATCTAGCAAAACCTGATTGATACACTGATTTCTGCTAAGTCTTTGCAACCCTATATAACTCATCCAATAGGATACTAATAGGCAGCCCTTAAGGGTACATAGAAAGTGAACAGCAATTTCTATTAGTCATTCATACAGAAGCCCTTCCTTCATGGTCAGTTAACCTGGAACAAAACTTTGGAAATCATGGGCATGTAAGGTAGTAGAAAGTATATGATATGTGTGTATGGGGGGTCATAAGAGACATAGAAAGAAAAATAATATGAAAAAGAAAGAAGACAAGGAGAGAAATTAAAAGGAGATGGAGATGGAGGAAATGAGCAGGGAAGAAAGAGAAGAAAAAATGTTAAAAGAGACAATATTATTCATATATTATATACATGTATAATATTGTCACAATGAAACCCATTATTCTGGTATAATTAGTATGCACTTATAATTAAAATGGAATAGAAGCAGCAAATCCAAACAGCAGATCTATTAAATTAGACAAAGCTGTGGGAAAACGAAAAAACAATATTATTCATAGACTATAAAATTCTATAGCAGATTTCTTTCATGATGTTCTTTGATTTTCTAAAGGAAGGAATGAATTTATACACTTTCCATAGTACTGTTAACTCTATAAAATGTTGTAAATTTAAAAATAGAAATGATAGATGATTAAATATTTGTCAATGCTTTCAGCCTCATCTTCCCCTTCAGATCATACTATCCTATAGCAGCAATTGTCCTCGAATGATGGATAACAGTATGTTATATATCAAAGCAAAACACCAGCAGGCCAGGTGGCTTGCTGTTATGGTTATTTGATGATATTAAAACTCAATAAGCAAAAGACTTAAATGGGAGGATTCCTTTTGTGGAAAGCCTTGGTTCTCTTTGAATTCATTTCCAGCACCATGCAATTCAGGAAGATGTAATTTTATGCAGCCTTTAAAGTCTACCAAGTATCATGCAATGTATTCTGATAGTCAATAATGCTCTCTGATTTTATGTACTTTACCTTGTACTATATTAAGCCACACACACAAAAAGGAAGAATTTCAGACTTTGATTTGAGAGCATTTTTATACATGACTGGTTTTACTGTCACAATCCATACACTTTAACTGATAGGGGATTTCATGTGACATCAGAAATCAACCAACCATACAATTGATGATGTCATGATGTCATTTGCACTCTAAAGGGCTACTGGTTAAAGATTTGAATTTTCATCTGGATAAATTCTGTCTTGCTTCAAGAATATTTCAATCTTTTTTGCTCTTTTCCTTGGCCCCCAGATTACATGAACCATAATTAAATAAGTTATCACTTATTTCTTTAAATTGAAAATTATCAAATTGAATGTCCTAGCAAAGATAACTTAAACATAGGGGAAAATGTATCAAGAATACTACCAATGACATTTTGATAATGTTTCCCTTCAATTTTACTCAAATTTTGTTGCTTTACATATTCATAAAGACTTTTATCCTCAAAGTGTTATGTTTTATTCTCAGTTATTATGGTAACATATCACCCTTAAAAACAATCCTACTCATGAAATAACTCAATACTAAAATCAGGTAGGTAATGACAATATTCCTGATTTATTTCACATAATATGATTTTTTTTTCAAATCACAGATGTTGCTAAAAGAGAAAAATGTTCTTTAAAATTCTTTATCATAAATCTTTTTTTTTCTGCAAATCCTTTTTTTTTCCTCACAAAGGCAACATGAATAGAGGTAAAAGAAGACAAAACTTGACCTTTTGTGATCCCAGCATTAATGGGTCTGTTCATAATTCAATCTATGTGTGTGTGGGAGCATCCATGTGGAAACATAGAAGCCTGAGAGACATAAAGCCTTTCCCTTTAAACATTATCTGACCCTATCAGTCCCATTCACAAAAGAAGGCTTACGTATGCATATGCTGAAAAAATGCACCATCTCATTGTGCAACAGAAAGCCTACTCATTCTCCATGGAAATGCATCGCGGAAGTGACACTTGTACAGAATTTGGGAGAGTGACAAATGAGCAGAAGGTAGCAAAAAAAAAAATGAATATTCTGGTGAGGAAAGAAGCCAAACTTCTGACAGAATGCAAATGTGCACATGTTTATAGACATACACATAGGTTTTTACCTAACACATAGGGAAGTTTGACCATATTTATATGACACATGCATGCAACTCTTGAATTCAATTAAATTTTCAAGATGATTTATAGTCAACACAAAATATTGTTCAGTTTATAATCATTCTAAAGAGTATACTTAATGAGGTTGTGCATGTCTGAGCCATATATTGTGAATACTGTATACTGGCTATTATTAATGATGCTTTGAGGATCTTCTGGCTTTTTCAGTGATGGCTTCAGCTGTCAGCCTGAATTCTCTGTGGTTTTGAATCCACCCATATTATTAAAGAGAATTCCAGAGCACTTTGCACAGAACTGTCACTTGAAATCATCACAAAGGGTGGCAGCCTCTATGCTAGGAACATCATCGTGGCATATAACATACAGGATGATCTCAAAGTCAGATTAGCACTTGAACTTAAGACCAAGAAACTTTTTAATTAACAACATATTTAAGATGAGTCAAAGGAGTGGGCAGAGAGATTAAAATGTTATTTTAAAGCTTCCTAAATCTCTTCTTTATCTCAGGCCCAATAACACAGTTTTTTAATTTTTAATTTTTATTTTTTTTGGTGGGGTGTTTGTTTGTTTTGTTTTGTTTTGATTTTAAGTTAAAAAGTAAACATAATCTAGAATTGATAAACAAAGACTGAGAGCCTGTGAGCAAAGTTAAGTATCTCTTCATTTGGAAGCTGCGGTGCAGCATAACTATCAGGGACCCCAAAGTGTGTGGCACCTCTTATTCCTAGCACTTTAACTACTGCCAACTTTTAATAGTTTCCTTGAAGCTTTCCAACACAGATTTAACCTGTTTGCAGGCAGAGGTCCTTTACGTGCTGTCTTTAGGCCTACTCAACAACCCCATTCTCATTCCCCTCACAGGTGAAGGGAGGGACTATTAATCAGTGGATGTGTAACCGATGTGATCCTGCAATCTGTATACGGGGTAAAAATAGGAGTTCATAACCCACTTGAATCAAAGTGTGAAATATTATGTCAAGAACTATGTAATGTTTTGAAAAACCAACAATAAAAATTTAAAAAAATAAAAATAAAAATAGAGACATTTTAAGTGTCTTCATAACTTACCTGGCAATAGGGATTTGGTGAAGGCAACAAGGACAATGTCAACTGTACCTTTTGACATGTGACCGTGCGTTACTGACCTCTAACTACAGGTGTACAATAGACCAAGAGTCCCAATTATTCTGCTTGGATATCCACCACCAGATTGGCACCAATGGGAATACTAAGTCAGATGCGTCCTTGAGAGTTACAGAATTCCTCTAATGGCCAACTTTGGCTCAAGGCTATACCAACAGCTTTGCCAAACCTTTCTTGACTGCACAATGGTCTAGGATGCTTCCACCCAATCTTTCTTTCTTCTCTCCCTTACTTGGGGTTAGGTCTGCATTTTTGTCTCATAGATCTCTAACTTTATCATGCACTCCCATAGACATTTCTTCTAATAAGATCCTCAGACATTTAATTCCACCTTGGTTTCTTCTTTTCAGAGAATTTAAAATAGCACACTTTTAAAAGGGCAATAATATATTACATACAAATTTCCAAAAACATGTATCATCATCTCAAAGTGGCTGTATGATGTGTACATTATTACTCCCAGTTTTATGTGGAAAATTTTATGAAATAAAACAAAATTTTAAAATAAAATTATAGGCAGCAGAAAAGGAACTAAATCTGTATGTGTATGATGTTTAATTTGGTTTGAGATATGTACAGAATGTTATATTTATGTAAAAACATAATTTTCCCTCAAATTTCTCATTTTTCTTTCCATCAGGATTTGACACTTTTGTATGTGAATTAGAGCTAAAACTTGATGCCACAGACTTTTTCTAAACCAAAACACTAGAACTTATGTATCCAAATTAATATAGATGTTTTCCAAGTAATCTCTTAGAAATTATTCTCATAGTCTCTTTGGGGGCACTGCCATTTTTAAAAAGAAACTATTTTCATAGATTGCCAAATATATTTAGAGATTATTATACACACATGCACATGCATACACATTCCTTTTGTAGATATTTGATTTTTGAAGAAAACAAAGAAACTTTGAGCCACATAAAGTACTGTACAGAAAGAACTCAGAAGAGTTAAATAAACAAGCAGATAATAATGATAAAGAAGAAATACCAAAGAAGTATAGATATTATTATATTTGGAGGATGAGACAATTTTTATTTCTAATGTTGCTAACAAGGTGGCATTAAAAATTATATATTTAACATAATTATCATTTTCCTGATCCACTAAACTTTTTAATTTCGATGAAATTGTGATTTTGCATAAATATCAAAGAGCAAAATAATTATAATGTTTTAAAGGAGAAAAATATTTAATCTGTTATTCTTTTTGATAATTTTCTATTTAATCTCTAATACTAACTGGTTTTGTTAAAGATAATTTTAATTATACTGATGAATCTAGAAAGACATTTGCACTTCTCAAAATTTATGATTCATGCTATATTTATTTGAAACTTACTGTAAAATGGAGTAAAACTCTAGCTCTGGTAACACCTTTTTCAAACACATAGAGAATGATATTTTTAAAATTTATAACTAGTAACTTAGTCTTATAACTTGTTAATATTCAGTAGAATGAGACAGAACCATAACTTAAATCTATGTAACTATTATTTATTACATTTTAGAAATGATTCAAGTTTAATTTTTCATATGAAATATTCTCTATTGACAATGCCAATCAATGTTTACACTATCATATTTAATAACAGACATATATGTCCCAAATATTAATATAGTTTTGTGTAAAGATGAATTCACACAGAACAATTTGGTGCATTGTATGTGTTCATTTGTTATGAAATATACAGTTAATGAAGAAGATGCAATCACAATGATAACAAACTATTAAAATCCTAAAGCTTGGGTAGACTTATTTGCCCAAATGTCAAAATAAAATTGCATGAGAAGCTTATTTTGTTATTTTCACATTATCATGTTCCTTAAGTTGCTTATAGAGTTTATTTACTGACATTAGTATGTGGAAATTAGGAAATTTATGTTTATTCCTCAGAAAGATTAAATGCTTTTTCATTCTAGAAAACTACTTGAAGATAATTTTCCCTTTTTGTCTAATGCTTATTTTGTATTATTCTTTCATTTATGGAATATGCTGTCAATGTCACAGCATGAGCTTTGGAGAGAAGAAGGTTTGATTTAATAGTTCTTCATTACAATATTGCCTACAGAATCTTATGATTAGCTTCCTTACTATTGACATTGCAAACAACAGTTTTCCCTTGGTAAAAGATAACTTTGTTAGCGTACCTAAAATTCAGAACAATAATTCTATTTTTAGATAACAAAAAATCAGATTTAGATTTATTAAAATTCAAAAACAATTTATGTTTTCCCTGTGTTGGCATGTTTTACAATTTTCAGTTTCAAGTTACATGTAATAATTTGCTAATTGAAGAAATTTATGAGAAAATAGTCATAAGACATTTTTCAGAAAATCCTAATTTGATTCATTGTTTCAAGCACACAACTATTTTTCAGACTGTCCATATCAGTAAAATAAATTTAAGGGTTTTTTTTCTATTATATGTTACTGTCAATTAATAATAATTGATTAATACCCAAAGTAAAATTTATCTTAATTTTAAAATTAAGTCATTGTTGTTTTAATATAGTTACAAAATAATTCCCTTACTTCTTCTTCTGCTTTATGGTGCTCCTTTGCTGTCATTGAAAGGATAACTTTTTCTGTAATTTTCTCCTTCTTGTCATTGAAGGCCAGGTTCAACTAAAAGAAATAAATAAATGACATGAAAACAGGCACTTTTTACTGACTCCTAATAGCAATATTTTATTCAAACAACTAATTTAGCATAATCTTGAAGGCAATTTATATTAATTTTGCCTGTACATATATGAAAATGAACTTGCTTAGATTGAATAGGAAGTTTATTTTTATATTTAAAACATGTGGCAAACTGAATTTTCACTTCTTTTTTATTGTTTTTAAGATTACCAAACATGAATTTGGGAGGGTAAGTCCCTAATTGCAGACATTTGACACTGATTGTTTTTTAAAGCATTTTAAAAATGAACTCACTTCACTTTTAAAAATTTAGACTGATATTCTCTAGTAAAACCTTTCATTGGAAGTAGGGGGAAAATTGGCTGCTATTACATCAGTATAAGAAGCCAAAGACATAAAAGTGTCACTCTAGAATGTGCCAAATGATACTATTTCATAACAAAGTATCATGTATCTAAATATCCATTACCTCCAACCTACTCCATTTACAAAGTCAGATAAAGGTAGTCTAGTATTGCTCTATTTCTTTATAAATAATTCTTATGGAAACAAAATGTGATTTTCAAGAAAATATAAAAGCTAAACTCAATAATATTTACTCAATAGATTGAGATTAATAGAAAGAAAGAACAAAAACCTGATAGAGACCTCATGAATAGGAATATTAACAACTCTTAAGCAAAGGCCTTGACATACCACATGTCTTTATTGAGAATTGGGCTAAAAATACCATGTTCTAAAGTTTTGTTAATGTTGATGTTATAAGTAAGATTTATCTATTGTATTTCTGGAAAATCATGTTTGAATTAACATGAATCTTTAATTCATACCCAACCCGAAGAACTGTGCCTCCTTGTATTTGGGATAAAGTGGGAGATGTAGATTCAGCAATATGTCTTCCTTAATCTAGCTGTGCATAGAAGCTAGAAAAATAGTGTCAAACCTGTAAACATCCTATCAATTATATGTGATATAGCTCAGTATATCATCAGACATTCTGATTTGGTAAAAGGGTGGGGTCCAGAAATCTTTAGATGATCTGATGATTACTGCAGGTAAGGAATTGACACATATTTCTGTAAAGGGTCAGTCATTCAATATTTCAGTCTATGGGGTATGGGAAGTGGCATACTGCCACAGTCTGGCTGGGCACAAATGCCGCAGTCTGGCTGGGCACACAATCACGAGCCACCACACAGCTTGTAGATTCAAACAGCAACTCTTTATTCCCAAACTCACACCAGCCGTCTACAATCACGTTCTGGGGAAATCCACGTTCTCTGCCCAAATCCACGTTCTCTGCCCAAATCCACCTCCACTGGGCTTCTGTCTCCCAAAATATACTGTCTGAATCCCGTGAGAACTCAAGGGGAACTCAGGCAGCAGGATACGCCCTATTCCCAGCAGGAATAATCTTAAACCTTAAACCTGGAACCTAAACTGGGAACGCCCTAAACAAGATTATCTTAAAACCGGGAACACCCTAATCTGCCTTGGTCCTTGAGCAAGGTCACCTACATATAATGTCACTGCAACATGGGGTACGCTGGCAAGGAAATTGTCATACTTACTTGGCTAATGGCTCCCAGCATCTCCCCCCTTCTGATTAATTAAACAACAAGCAATGTGGCTTAAGGACCGTGCCTGGTAGGTTGTCCAATTCAACATATGGTTCTTACCCGTCATCGGAAAACTGACCTTTAGGCGTCAGCCTCCTGTCTTAGGTTGATACCACTGCAATTGAATCATACCCGTCACTGACTACCGGTCCAGCATACAGCCATACTTGTGGATAGGTCTATGCACCAGTGGGGGGGTGAGGTTCTTTGCCTCACCTCTGTTGGCCCCCAAATTTGGCCTTGGTGCCAGTGGGGGAGTGAGGTTAATGTGGCTTATGGACCGTGCCTGGTAGGTTGTCCAATTCAACATATGGTTCTTACCCGTCATCGGAAAACTGACCTTTAGGCGTCAGCCTCCTGTCTTAGGTTGATACCACTGCAATTGGATCATACCCGTCACTGACTACCGGTCCAGCATAAGCCATTGGCCCCCAAATTTTAGACCATCACTAGCAGAAGGGAGGAGGATACAGAAATGCCACGACACCAAGCCAATTGACGGCTCCTTGGGAAAAATTGCATCACTGGTGACACCATCAGCAAAGATATGTCAGCACTACCACAATTAACATGGGGTGCGCTGGCAAGGAAATAAAAATTGCATCACTAGTGACACCATCAGCAAAGATATGCCAGCATTACCACAATTCGCTGCACCAAATGATAGTTACATAGTCCAGGCAAGTTCTGCAAGCAGTTCAAAGCAGAGGAATCTATCAATATGTCCATTTCCTCCCCAAAATCTGTCTCCTCCCAAAGTAAGTTGACTCTTTGATTGAGCATTACTTGTTGAGTTCTTCACCGGCACTGGGATGGAGATAGGAATTCTGGCAATGATGCTAAAAAGACATTATCCTGAAAAGAATTATTAAATATAATGAAAAGGAAAGGTGAAAGTAAACAAACAGATCTGTTAACCTACTTTAAAAACAATGCTTAACAGCTTTTTACCTAATTTAAATTAGTAAACAAACAGATCTGTTAACCACCTTTAAAAACAATCCTTAACAGCTGTTTACATAATTTAAATTAAACGATTTAAATCACGTGAATAAAAAAATAATAATAATTCGGATCCATTTTTTCATGAGCGCTCCTCATATAAGAAATATGGACATACGCACATACAGACATACAACACAAAACACAAGAGTGTACACAAACGTACAACACATAAGAAAATAGTAAAGGCCTTGTAGCTTTACCTAGGTGAAATCTCCATTGCAATGTTTAAAAACTCCACAGTCAAAAAATAAAACTGATCAGAAAAACATTAACCTAGGTTTGTATGAGCTCAAAAAATAAAAATAGAACCTTATGATGTGGAAAAATGCAATAATAAAATAGCTATTGAAAAAAGCATCCTGGTTAATCACTGTCGCAGATGTAAGAATGGCCAAGCTGGAGCTCTGGATATCAGCTGTTATGGATTTGAGTCAAATCATCTTCTTTTCGATCTGTAGAAACTGTTTTAGTTAATCTCTCTGGAATCCAAATGGGCTGCTGTTCTCCCTGTGGAAAAACACAAACAGACCCCCGACTCCAGACAATCACTGGGTCAGGACCTTTCCATTGTCCTGTTAGAATATCTTTCCAAAGTACTTTAGGCTTATGTACATTTTTTGGATACATATGCCTTTCCGCAGCACTAAGTCCTGATGAATCCAAATTTAAAAAGTTTAGAGTAAAAAGCGTTATTTTAAGTTTATCTTTGGGGGATATATACCCCCTTCCAATTCCCTCTTTTTGCTTTAATAAGTATGTTTTAATAGTTTGATGAGCTCTTTCAACTATGCCTTGTCCCTGTGGATTGTATGGGATTCCTGTTATATGAGTAACACCAAATGATGAGCAAAATTGTTTAAAAGAGGTAGAGGTATAGCCAGGACCATTATCGGTTTTTAACTGTTTAGGAACGCCCACAGTGGCAAAATTTTGTAAGCAATGAGCTATAACATCTTTAGTTTTTTCTCCGGCATGAAGGGAGCCCATCAAAAATCCAGAAGAAGTATCGACTGTAACGTGTAAATATTTTAATTTTCCAAATTCTGGCAAGTGTGTGACGTCCATCTGCCAAATATGGTTAGGTATCAGTCCTCTAGGATTGACTCCAAGATTAACTTGTGGTAAAAATGTCACACAATTTTGACATTGTTTTATTATATGTCTGGCTTGTTCCTTAGTTATTTTAAAACGCTTTTGTAAAGTATTAGCATTAACATGAAACCTTTTATGAAAATTTGTAGCTTCTTCAAATGTAGAGAAAATATGTATGTCATGTGTAGTTTTATCTGCTAAATCATTGCCTAAACTAAGGGCTCCAGGCAATCCTGTATGTGCCCTAATATGTCCTATGAAGAATGGATCTTTTCTGTCCCAGATTAGACTTTGTATAGTGGAAAACAAAGAGAAAACAGTCGAAGAAGGGGAAATCCTACCAGCATCTTCAAGAGATACTATAGCATTAACTACATACTGACTATCAGAAAATAAATTAAATACAGAATCTTTAAACATCAAAAAAGCTTGTAAAACTGCATTAAGCTCTACCTTTTGAGCTGATTGTTTGGGTACTAAAAATGTAAAAGTTTGATCAGGGGTAACTACTGCTGCTGTACCATTATTTGACCCATCAGTGAATATATTTGGAGCATTCATGATAGGTGTTTTTCTTGTCATTTTAGGAAAAACTACAGGATGCTTAGACCAAAAAGACAACAAAGGATTAGATGGTAAATGATTATCAAATGAAACATTAGATTTACACATGATTATTGCCCAAGTATTTAACTCATTAGCTAACTCATCAATTTGATCCATAGTATATGGAGTAATAATTTTATTGGGAGAAATTCCAAACACTCCCTTCGCTGCTTTTATTCCTTTGAGTATTAATTGTCCTATAGCCTCAGGATACCTAGTAAGAATAGTGTTAGGAGAATAAGATAAATGTATCCACAATAATGGACCTTCTTGCCAAAATACTCCTGTAGGAATATTTTTTGTTGGTAGTACAATAAATAATAAAGGCAAACTTATATCAATTCTATCCAAATGTATGTTTTCCATATATGTTTCAATAATTTTTAATGCCTTTCTTGCTTTAGGAGTTAACATGCGGGGTGAATTTGGATCTGATGGACCTTTTAGAATATCAAATAAAGGTCCCAATTCTCCTGTTGGTATACCTAGATAAGGCCTTATCCAATTTATGTCTCCCAATAACTTTTGAAAGTCGTTAAGTGATTTGAGTTGATCTACTCGTATTTGAATTTTTGGTGGACGGACCATGGTTGAGGATAATAGAACTCCTAAATAATTAATTGGAAAATTTAATTGTACTTTATCTATTGCTATCTCTAG